CCCACGTATTCAATTATACATATTTGGTAGCGGTGGACTTGAGTGGAAATGTTGGAGTGAGTGAATGAACGATGAAGAGAGAGAAAAAGGAGTGCGGATGGAATAACGATAACAGAGTTTTAGAGTTTCATGGAAATGGAAAAGAGGGTGGGGAGAAAAAATTTCCTAAAACACAAACCAAGTTGATGTTAATTAATGCAAAAAGAAGGAGATTCCAACACATCCAAACACCTCTTTAATGACTAATTAATGCATATACTTTTCATACACCTTCCCTCCATCGTCATCATTATCAACACACACCATACACAAAAATAATGTTTTTATATTTTTTATTAAAAATGAAAAATAAAATAAATTAAATAGTTAAATCACATTAAAAGTCGTCCATAAATTGCGTGTTAACTTACAAGCACAAGGCATGTGGGATGCCATCTAGCATGGTGACGGCGTTCAAAAGCGTAACAACAAGATGACTCTTCCTGCCATCTAACAAGTAGTCCTAGAGGACATCCTCTCATGTTGGTAGAGAAGGACTCAACAAAAGTAGTGTGGGAGACACTTGCAAACAATGCATGTGGGTGTGGAATGACTTGAGAAAGCAGTTAGTCTATGATGTCAGTTTTGCTGCCATATTGTGGGTATCTTATTTCTACCGTAACTTTTTTGTTTTAGTTTGAATGATTGAAAAAAAGGAGTTGAACCATACACTTTAGACCATTTAAAATACTGATAATTTTTAATAATTAAGTACAGGTTTGTTATCGTCAAAACATCAATTAATTAATTTGAAATTGAGTGCCAAAAAACCAACATTATTCACACTCGAGGAGTGACCCGCATGGATAAAAAAAGAGAGATGCGACTGATTCTTCTTTTTTTAGGCTCCATGTATCCAATGTTAGTATATGCACCCCCTATCCGATACGGACTTTGTAAATGATATGACAAAGTTACAGTAGGCTCCAATAGGTCGATAGAACCTTCATAGATGGATGTTCAGGGTGTCCCGATGATATAAATGAACGCCACATGAGCCCGTTCTCGATGGACATATCTGAGTAAACTATGATCGATGACATCTCGAAACTTGGGATGACATCATTACATGAAAGTCATGTTGTTGAGAACCAATATGAGAATTGAAATGCAACATTACACATGAGGCACAACACATTACTAACCTCGGTTACAAACGTCAAATATTATATGTTTTCATAATAATCTTAAAAATAGGGTAGGGTAGGGACAAATAGTAACCCAATTTTCAGGCCGGTCATGTTGATCCAACAAAAAAAAAATGTCATCCTATTAAATAACCCACATTTTTTCGGTTTTTCAAAAATTCAACCGGACCCAAAAAAATTGAAATAAACAAAGAAACATAAACAAGTTTCCAAATTTTCTACGAAATTGACTGTTTTATTCACATCAAAAGGGCCATTGAATTACATGAATGGGCTTTATTAAGCCCACTTAGAGAAATTATGTGGGCCCACATCTAACAGGTTTTTGCCCAAGTTTGATCATACAGTTTCCATATTAAAACTATCTTAAATCAATTAAAATAATGTAATTAAGGAAAGGCTAGTTACATCAATTTAATTATAAATTTATTAAGGGTAAATTAAACTGCATTTAATGTATCTTTTATCTTGAAGCTCAGTTTTGCATAATATGTAGGAAATGATTCCGATATCTTCTAGAATCTTCTTTGACAAGTTCACTTTAGCTATAAGAGACTAAAATTTGTTGTAACTTCTTGATTCTCGTTCTTGTAATTGAACTTTGAAATATGAAAATTTCTTGATCTTGGTTCATATCATCTAAGTTTCTCGATCACAATCAACCAACCTCTTAAATCTACTGTGCAATAAACGTGAAATAACATCGTTTGATTGTGTTGAAGAAGGCATGTGGCTCAAAGAAAAGCGGAAGAAATAGACGAAGAAGAGACTTGAGAGTAGTGGAAGGAGAAGTTTTGAGACACCCATACAAGCATCTCAAACTCATGATTCAAGGTAACCCAAAGAACCAAAAAGAACCAGGAAAAGAGGGTAACTTTTTTTATTATGAAAAGTGAAACGACCGCATTCTATCTTCAGAAGCCGATATGGACGAAGTAACATGAATGAGTGTATAAAATGTACTCAGTAGTAAGATCATATTTCGTTTTTAAGTCTTAACGATCTTGTTCATATGTTTGGTAGACCCTAAGTTTACTCATTCTAAAAAAAACATGAATAACCGATTTCCCATCCCATGCTTTATATCATAATAAGGACATGTTCTCAAGTTTGATCATATGGCAACTCAATAGTTCGTTCTTCGATAAATGTGCATCATAATGTTTAATGCAATCTTGCATACATCACACACTCATTTCATGCTCAAATTTCTAACGTGCTAAATTCAAGATTTGGAATTTGGAATGTGTCACTTTTTTTTTTTTTTTTCTTTGCGTAGGTTTTGGGTCTTTTAAAAAGTCAAAATGTGGCCTTTGACCGTTGAGTGGTCAACGATGACCATTGACTGTACAGTCAGAGCTAATGTCGTGGCTGACCTCAACTGCTGATCTCACACTTCATTTTCCTTCCTTTTTCCTTTCTCCATAAGCTTTACTCCAGTTCTCTCTGTTTATCCTTCTCTTTTCTTCTTCTTCCTGAATATCTCTTGTTTTCTTTCTTTCTTTTTTTTTTTTTTTTTTTTTTTTTTTTTTTTTTTTTTTTTTTTTTTT